CCTCCGCTCGCCGGGCAGGCCAGGCTGCGAGCAGCACACTCGGAGCGGAGCTTGTTTGCTTTGGATGGTTAAGCAGTTTTATTTCTTATAAAAGGAAATGGAGGAGGATGGGAGAGAGGGAGACACAGAGAGAGAAGCCAGGAGGCCTCACACGCCCGCTTTCCTTCTCACTCCTCCGGGCGCTGAGTCCTAAAGTCTGACCCGCAGGCGGACGCTGTGCCGGGCTCCGTGGTGCTGACCCCAGGGCAGGGCAGGTGGGAGGTGCAGGTCCCACTCTGCTCTCACACTGTCCCTGCCTCCCTGTGCTCTCGGGCCCTCGCCAGCTGCAGCCCACAGGGAGGAGACGACGTACTGTCCCTCTGGCCCCCACCTGGCCACTGCCCTTCCCCAGAGTCATTTCTGTCCCAGGAAGCGCCCCTCCCCGTCCCTGGGCACCAGGACACGCCTTCTCACGGGAAACATATAAATAACCTGGTTGGTGTCCATTCAGACCCAGCCAGAGAGCGTGCACCTGGGGAGAAGGCGTAGCCGTCGGTTCTGAAAGCGGCTGTGCCTCTCTGCTCCCTGGGAGGCCACTGGGCACACAGGCCCCTCTGCCCAGGCCGCCCTGCCCCCGTCTCCTGTGCTTCTGCCCACTGCACCCAAGGGCTCTCAGAAGGGCCCAGAGTGGGCTAGTGAGGCTGCCCCACCCAGCTCCACTTTCCCTGCCTTAGGATGGCCCCTTCTGCGTCCCCGGGTGCTGTGCTAGGTGTTCCTGGGCGCTGTGCTGAGTGCCCGGGTGCTGTGCTGAGTGACCCCAGGTGCTGTGCTGGGTATTCCCGGGTGTTGTGCTGGGTGCCCCTGGGCCTCCCTGGGTCTGAGCTTTGACACGGGAGCTTAAGGGACCCTCAGGGCCATAGTCCCGAAGCGGCACAGCCCTCATTTGCCCGGCCTCCACCTGTGCTGGCCGAGCCGGGACTCTGCCGTTTCCCTGCATCGTTGCGGAGCCCTTGGCCTCACACCTCCCCCGAGGCCAGCAGTCCCAGTCCCAAGCCCCAGAGCGTGGCTGTGCCTGGCAGAGGTGGGAGGCGAGAGCCCAGTGTCTCCCCCGGGCACAGGGCGAGACTTGTCACCGAGCAGCGGGGGAGGCAGAGCACGGAGTGCAGGGGGGGCCTGCAGAGTCCTAACTAGAGGCGCCTCGGGCCCCGGGCCCACGTGGGCCTGCACACACACTGCTCTGGGGACTTCCTTAGACTTGACCCTGTGCCTCTGTCATGTGACCTGCCACTCAGAGGGGGTTTTTCTTCATCAGTTAGTGAACAGTGGTTTCTGGGAAAGTGTCTCTACAAGGCATCATGCATTTGACATCCAGTCTGCGGGGTCCTGACCGGCAACTCGGGGTGTGGGGGGAAGTACGGAGTGAGGCCAGGACAGACAGGCCTGTGGGCCGCTCCGCCCACGCAGGGCCCGGGACGAACTTCCCTCTCCCGCGTCGCGCTGCACATGGCTGTCCCGTGAGGGGTCACTGGGTGGCCGGGGAGGAGGGGAGGGTGCCTCCTGTGGGCATCCCTGCCCAGCCCCCTCCCTCCCGGAGGCGAGCAGCTCTGCCCAGAGCGCAGGCCCTTTTGGGAAAAGCCTGCGTGGAAGGGCTTTCACGGCGAGGCTGCTTCCTGTTTGAGGAGCTCCCGAGGGCTCTTTGCAGAAGTGGGGCCGCCCACCACCTGCAGGCCCTGCAGTGCGTCAGGGAGGTTTGGGGGAGCACCCCTGCCCAGCCATCTGCACACAGGCCCGCACGCAGGGCTCCGTGCAGACGCAGCTGCCCTGCCTCCCAGCTCTCGTCACCGGCTGGCTCAGCACGCACCGTCGTGTGAGCACGTGTGGGTGCGGGCGCAGGTGGTCAGCCAGGGGCCGGCTCCTGACGCCCTCACCACCTCCTGGAAGGTCAAACGACCAGGCCCAAGGTCACACCCAGGGGTCTGGGTTTTTCTTCATTAGTTGATGAACAGTGGATTCTGGGAAAGTGTCTCTACAAGGCATCATGCACTTGACATTCAGTCTGCGGGGTCCTGACCGGCAGCTCGGGGTGTGGGGGGAAGTACGGAGTGAGGCCAGGACAGACAGGCCTGTGGGCCGCTCCGCCCACGCAGGGCCCGGGACGAACTTCCCTCTCCCGCGTCGCGCTGCACATGGCTGTCCCGTGAGGGGTCACTGGGTGGCCGGGGAGGAGGGGAGTTTGCAGGGGGGCAGGGAAGGGGTTCAGCCTGGGGCTGCTGGTCCTGTACTGTCCCTGCTGCCGTCCCCCGCAGTGTCCCGGGGACCCCACGCCCAGGTCAGCCGAGTGCCCAGCCTGCC